CCCCCCCCCCCCCCCCCCATCATCACATCAGAAGAAGGCTAATACTGACCTCGGGTATGTCCTCCTCTCCTGCAGGAATACAGCATTGTGATTGAGAAACTCACTGATGGCAAATGGGTCCCCTTCGATGGAGACGACATCCAGTTGGAGTTTGTCCGCATTGACCCTTTTGTGCGAACCTTCCTGAAGAAGAATGGTGAGTTCCTCCCATTGACACAGAGACCGGCCCACCGGCCCAATCTCCGGATTTAGAGGAGCGGTCAGCTATGAAAAAAGCTATTCTAATTTGTGGCTGAGGAGTATTGGTCATGTGACTCGTCCTTTGTCTTCTATAGGTGGAAAATACAGCATCCAGTTCAAACTTCCCGATGTCTATGGTGTGTTCCAGTTCAAAGTAGATTACAACCGGCTGGGATATACTCACCTCTACTCGGCCACCCAGGTACGACTGAGAACAACCGCTGCTTCTCCATCGAGAAAATAACATGTTTCTGCACTTAGCAACTTCATGCTTCCCTTCATATTCTACACCAACATGTCCCCAGTACTGAGATTGTCTCATTTCTTCCTCTTCGTTTCATACATCTGACCTCCGTCCTTCCCCTTCAGTCTTCTATCTGACCTCCGTCCTCCCCTTCAGTCTTCTATCTGACCTCCGTCCTTCCCTTCAGTCTTCTATCTGACCTCCGTCCTTCCCATTCAGTCTTCTATCCGACCTCCGTCCTCCCCTTCGGTCTTCTATCCGACCTCCGTCCTCCCCTTCGGTCTTCTATCCGACCTCCGTCCTCCCCTTCGGTCTTCTATCCGACCTCCGTCCTCCCCTTCGGTCTTCTATCCGACCTCCGTCCTCCCCTTCGGTCTTCTATCCGACCTCCGTCCTCCCCTTCGGTCTTCTATCCGACCTCCGTCCTCCCCTTCGGTCTTCTATCCGACCTCCGTCCTCCCCTTCGGTCTTCTATCCGACCTCCGTCCTCCCCTTCGGTCTTCTATCCGACCTCCGTCCTCCCCTTCGGTCTTCTATCAGACCTCCGTCCTCCCCTTCGGTCTTCTATCAGACCTCCGTCCTCCCCTTCGGTCTTCTATCAGACCTCCGTCCTCCCCTTCGGTCTTCTATCAGACCTCCGTCCTCCCCTTCGGTCTTCTATCAGACCTCCGTCCTCCCCTTCGGTCTTCTATCAGACCTCCGTCCTCCCCTTCGGTCTTCTATCAGACCTCCGTCCTCCCCTTCGGTCTTCTATCAGACCTCCGTCCTCCCCTTCGGTCTTCTATCAGACCTCCGTCCTCCCCTTCGGTCTTCTATCAGACCTCCGTCCTCCCCTTCGGTCTTCTATCAGACCTCCGTCCTCCCCTTCGGTCTTCTATCCGACCCCCGTCCTCCCCTTCGGTCTTCTGTCTGACCTCCGACCTCGTGTTGATAGGGTGGAGGAGAGGAGCCAGGCAAGGTAAAATATAAGTAGATTAAACGTCGGCTTTAAGGGCCCAGTCACACCATCAACAGTGCGTTCCAGTGCGCTCGGCCCCTGGAACGCAACCCGGCAGGCTCACTTTGTTTTGGGGCGTGGTGGTGCATTGAACTCAATGGCACCGCAGCCACACCCCCCGCCCACGGTGTGATCGCCGGCACCCGAACGTGTGACACATTAGTGCCTGCGTTCCGGTCCAGTGCAATCTGCAAGAAATAGCGCATGCAGCATCTCTGCAGATCGCACTGCACCGGAACGCAGGCACTAATGTGCCGGCGATCGCACCACTACGCCGCCTCCTGCCCCAAAGCATAGTGAGCCGGCCGGGGTGCGTTCCAGAGGCCGAACGCACTCTTGATGGTGTGACGGGGCCCTTCACCCATGTTACTTCCCAGCTCTTTGGGGCCCCAAATCCGGGCACTGTGTAATCAGTATTCATAGAGAATGGCCAATAGGAAAGCATTGAGTGGAGGGGGATGGGCTATTTGCATATTACGACATCACAGAATTGGAGGTACCCAGGACCTTGGAGATGACATAGAAAGGGATGTGCAGGAGCCACATTGTAGTTATCCTGGGGGCCCCTCTGAGTTTTTTGGTTTCTTCTTGCAGGTGTCGGTCCGTCCCCTGCAGCACACCCAGTATGAGCGCTTCATCCCCTCCGCCTTCCCGTATTACGCCAGCGCCTTCTCCATGATGTTCGGCCTCTTCATCTTCAGCGTCGTCTTCCTGCACAT